CGTGTGACTGACAGCGTCATGCCTGACCCCTGACCGTTGCCAGGCAACCCCGCCATAATGATGTCATCACCGGCGGCTGTTGACTTTCAATCAGCGTTGACGGTGACCTCTGTACCCCAGCAGTCAAGGCCACACCCCTTACCCCATTCCTGGAATGTGTGACATGCTAACAATGCGCTCTAATCAACAAGTAGCAGGGTATATGAGTGGCAAGCGTTATAGATACGATACCGGCAAAACAGAGCTCTTAGCTATAGATAACATTCCCATACCCACATAGTTTTGTGTCTACGTCTGGGTATTAAAATTCAATTAGATATTAGTAAACAAGATATGCAGGGCACTAGGTTAGGTTCTGACGTGTATCTTTATGTACAGTTTTGTTGGGATATTCAGTACATCTGGTTGACAAACTTTAGCAAAACATGGAAGATTTTTTTCCACAGAAGACCATAGAAAAATGTTCCCCTTACCATGGCTCACTTTCTCTGTCTATTACTGACCTTATTTTCGCCAAATTGTACTATCCATAACCCCACAAGAAGGCCCGATTGAAGGTGGTAAATCCTAACCCCTATCCTTTACACACTTCTAGTCTTTGTGTGAATCCACCCAGCTTGGCAGCCGTTCAGAGCCTGTTTTGTAAGATATATCGAGTCATTACTGCCTTTTGCAGCAGTGGGGTTTTCGGGTAATATAAAGTTACGGTTGAACAGTCGTAAACAGGCGGAGTAGGATATTGAATTCAGCCGCAGTGCGAGTCATCACACAGCAACGTAACTACAGAACTGGTTTTATTATTTGACTTATTTGGCTGTATAAAACATACAGTCCAGGCTACCCAACTTCACACAATAACTAAGGATGCAGGGGAATATCTTGTCATTTTATGATATTGAATTTATTCACAGAGCGAGTCATCACACGGCAACGTTACTACAGAGCTGGTTTTATTTGATATATTTTGGCTGTATAAACGTACCGCCCGGGCTAATCTTCAAACAATCACTAATGATGCAGAGGAATTTCTTGACCATTTTAGCTTTATTTTTTTTTGTCGCGTCTCGGCATCTAATAATTATTCTATAATTATGAATGAATTGTTGTGCTAGGTATAATTTGTTTTGCTTTGAACCAACCACTACATTTGCTGCATTTTCTGCATTCAAATTTAATTTCCTCATGCCACTGCGGATCAAGATTAATGTTTTCCAATCCACAACATCAATCTTCTAAAGCAAATATTTGCCTAACCTTCACTGTAGATCTCTGATAACATGTTCAGATTCCAATCTCCTAACAAATATTCCGCCCCTGCAGATGTTGGGGGAATTAAACACGCCCAGCCTGACTATTCATGCACAGTGGTAAGGCTGTGTTTCTACTAAACTGTGATCACTGAGTGACCCTGCAGGGAGGCAAATTAAATATGTGTCAGAAACACAGCGTTTTTTTCCTATCCCTTATAATTAGGGACTACTGAAGGCGCCCAGGTCTACCTATTGCTGCACCCCGCTTCGATCGTCAATAAGCGGTCGTAGTGTTATCCTATAAAGGCCAATATTATTTCTTTTTTTTTTCTAACCGATACACATAAACGTTACTTCTTTTAGGACCGAAATAAAGTAGGAAAATAGGAAATATTACATTTTTCCTGTCCCTAAGGGATACTATAGTGAACGCGCCCACGGCTGAGTATTCATGCAGCTCGCTAACGTTCTTTATTTATTATTAACTCTTTAATTTGATGAGCAATCTGTCATGGCCCTCGTGTAAGACCTAAAAAAAACTATATTTCTTGATCACTCCTACAAAAAATACCATAATATTTTGTAGGTCTGAAATCGGAAAAACTACATTTTTCCTATCCCTTAGGGACTAGTGAACGCGCCCGGGCTGACACTATCCATGCACTGGACATCGATAGCTGAACTACGTAATATGTATGCCATGTAATACGTATATACAGTGACCCTCCATGATGAGCTAATTTTAGTCAGCACAGAAAGAGGAAATACTACATTTTCCCCATCCCTTAGGGACACACAGTGAACTCTCCCCGGGCTGACTATTCATTCACCGTGGCAAAACCTGCACTGGACGACAATCGCTGGCTACCATTACATACAGTGACCCTACTAATTTTTTTTCAGCATTGAAATCATAAATACTACATTTTTCCTATCCCTAAGGGACACATAGTGAACTCTCCCCAGGCTGACACTATTCATGCTCCCCGCTAACGAGCGGCACCAGCCTGGCGGTGACGTCATGCGTGACATACCACGGCAATGAAACATCGCTCGTCACGACAGGCCTGAATACACGGGGGAGAATCATTACTGGTGTGCATGTGACATCAAATGAAATTCATATCATGACGTTTTCATAGTTTCCGGGTTACAAGCGTGTGAATCTTTGTGGGTGGCCAAGTTGCAAATGATTTGCCCTGTTTGGCAAATTTCTAGTATTTTTCCTGCAATTCAGAAAATCAACAATGAAATATCGCTTGTCACGACAGGCCTGAATACAAGGGGCAGAATCATTACTGTTACTGGTGTGGTGTTCAATAGAATTCACATCAGTGTGGTGTTCAATAGAATTCACATCATGTAGATTCTATAGTTTCCACTAGAGTGCAGTGTGTGCTGGTGTGTCAGGTCATGATTGGCTTGCAAATTATAATCACACTATTTGGCAAATTTCTAGTATTTCCCAGGAGTGTAATTCAGGAAATCGGCAATGAAACCTCGCTTGTCACCACAGGCCTGAATACAAGTTGCAGAATCATTACTGGTTTGATGTTCAATAAAATCTACATCAAGTAGATTCTGTAGTTTCCACTAGAGTACATGGTTGCCGGTGTGTCATGTCATGGTCGGGTAGTACGTCTTGCACATTATATCACCTATTTGGCCATTTTTCCTATTTGGCGAATTTCTAGGAATAGGCCATGACAGATCACAAACGCAGCATGATATAAAACGTGTATTCATGGTATCATAATGGGTTGTGCAAGACCAATTTGATGAAGCTAACAGCAGCTGCATAGTATGTATTTTATTGAATGAATAAATGAATGAAGATCTTTATTGTACATTTTGCCCCACTGGGCTAAAGACAGGTCACATATTGACATTATTTATTAAAGCGTTTGAGATCTTTCTGTCGCGTAACGCTTGGTGCATAGGTCATGTTATGAGTGTAATTATACAGTTGTAACGGTAATAAAAGGGTGATGAATAAAAAAAATACCTGTTCTAATAAAACAAGCAATGCTCCCAGAATTTCAATTCCACACTATCCTTTCCTTTATATCAAATTTATTGCGAGCAAACGAGCCACTATGAAGGTGCCGTGGTGAAAACAAAAAGGCTAACGTCCATATGCCCCCCTCCCCACATGCCCTTATAGAAATGTCAATGACCGTGACACCATCTGTTTTGCCACTGTGCATCTGTTCGTGTTTGGGAATTTTCCCTGCATACTTGTTTGATAACGTGGATACTATCGTTTATTTTGATAACCACCCTGTTAGTGGATACCATACCCTTTGTTAGCCTCCGTAGCAGGCTTATAGAACTGTGGGTTTGGTGGTCTTCGGCTGTTTTCTGATTAGCCTCCGTAGCAGGCTTATAGAACTGGGGGTTTGGTGGTTTTCGGCTGTTTTCTGATCAGCCCAGTTCTAAACGGGGGGTAATCAAACCAGGCCGGTTATGATGACTATATACAATCAGAAAATAGCCCATGAAGACCCCCAAAACCCCCCAGTTTTTTTTATGCTAAGGAGGCAAGTGTTATTTGGAGTTTAAAAAAAAATAGAAAAAATATCTCTCATGATTTTAAACCTCCTTGTCATAGCGTAGGAATAGCTAAACCATTAGACAATAGGGATTGTTGAAGTAAGAAACAAAGCAAAACAAAACACAACAAGCAATTAAAAAATCGTACAAATTCAAGCATGCCCTTTTTATATCTCTGAACGTTTAGGATAGTTCCCTGTGCATACTCTGCTGCGGGGTAGCATAGCTGGTGTTTATTTTAGCACGGTATAGATGTTATCAACCCCTAGGCTAGGTTATTATAGTGAACATGGTACAAGTAGTATTCTGAATTTGCCAGATATGTTTGAGAGAGCATTTGGTAATGATGCACTATATATCACCTCTATCAGATACAAGGCATAAAAGGCATGGAGCAAAATAGTACAGTAGGTTTGGAAGCTTTCAATACTAAAAAAAATACAAAGAATTATCAAGATCGAAATAATATATACATTGACGAAGGAAATAGATGATTTATTGTGGTGACCTCCCATGTCATAGAACGTCATGATTTTAAATTTTATGCGTTTTTGTGTCAATATAATTAGAGAAATTTATTTGATATTCACACAGACTAGTGTAGCATGTGTTAACTTAATGTGATATCGGCATAGAAAGAGCGCACGAACATATAGTGTCAAAGGAAAGTTCGCTTGGAAACCAAAATGCTCTTCATTGTAAGTAATTCGGAGTGACCCAAATTCCTCTGTGTATGCATCAAAGAGATAAGTCTCTTGGGACCTGTGAATACAATCTCTGTGTGTCTGGCTATGGATGTGGTGGATACCAGGCTAAAATAAGCCTATTTCTAGCAAGCTCTTACACTGGCCAACAATAACATGCTGTTGGATCAGATGTAAGGTATTTGTTTTGAGTGTAATAATAGTGCGCATACATACACATATACATATACATTTAGATGTGCATTGTAATGCGCATGTTGCTGACAGTGGTATTTTTTTCTATTTATCAATGCACAACAAAACAGTAACAAGGATAGTTTGGCGCTGTACTCATGCTCTAACTTTGGCCCAAAATAGTATGTTGTTGCAACGTGTATGGTATTTGTTTTGAACGCAAGTAAAGATATATAGAAAGCATTTGAGGATAATCGCATGGGAATCATAATGCGTATGTTGGTTGGTGAGAGGGTGGGGGGGGGGATGTCTTTCTTACCTGCATTTCTTCAAGTTCAAGCTTAAGTTCCTTAATCTCCGCCTTAAGACGGGCGTTCTCCTCCGCGACGTCGTCTCCCACCTTCCTTACGTCTTCGGGCGTGTTCGGGGATCTTCGATCTCCTTCGGGCGAGGTGCTCGCCCCCCCTCGGTCAGAATCGGGGCTCCTGAGGTAGCTGTTCAATTTCTCGTCCGACCCTCTTGTCCCTCTACTAGCCTGAGCTCGGGCTTTTGCGCGGTACCTCTCCGTTAGGTATATCCCGTCTCCTGTCTGCTTACTACCGTCTGTCTTCGCTTTGCCCGACCCTACGGAATGCCAGACGTGTTGTTTACCACTACCCCAGCTCCCTGCTGTTGTCCCTTTGCCAGTGTCCGTATTTAACGTTCTGGCACCGGCATCTTTTCTATAAACAGCCGGACTCTTGGTTATAGAGCGGGTGTATGTGCTGGATAGACCTAGTCCTGAGCTACGCTCAAAGTTCCCGCGTACGGACGACGTTTTGCCAATATGGCCTCCTTTGGATAATTTTTTAGTGACGTCGCCCGGTTTTACCATCACCTCGTCTGCACTGCGAAGCTTTCTCTTGCTGGCAGCTGAATTTTGCCGCCAGGGTTTAGAGCTGTGCGCGCCTGAGCGTGGCTTAACCCTAGGGGGTGGGGCGTCCGCATCCTTCCCCATTCCTCTTCTATCCACCCTCTCAGTGCTGCTGCTACCGTTCTCGTCTGCAGAGCTGGTTTCCAAGTCCGTGCTCGCTTGGTCCTCCTCCGGGTCTCCCACGCTTGATCCCTCGGGGGACAGCAGCATCGCTCCCGCTGGGTCTCCCTCTCCGCTACGGTTCTCCAAAAAAGGCGGCAGCTGCTGCGGCACCGAATTCCCAGCTATCAGTACCGGCAAGCCACCCTCGGGACTCCTCTCTAATTCCACAGGCATGAGGTTACTGCTGCCACCGTCTACAGCATCGCTATCCAATCCGTGGTCCTCCCTGGTCCTGAAGCACACCCTGCACCTGTCCTTGCGCCACGGTTGCGGGTCATATCTCCCACAGGCCGCACGCCTCTCACTAGCGCTGTCGCCCATTGTTTGTTCCTGCACACACAACAATGGCTTACTCACACACACACGCCCGAGCGCAGATGTTACCTGCTGTTACAAGCAGCCGCCATTGTAGGGAACGTTCAGGCACACAATGGGTCGGCCCAGCTAACCTGTGACGTCATCCGCGCGAAATCATTACCCATTCACGTGGGGGGCAGTCACACGTATACATATAATATATACCGTGTGCCTGACATCACGTTTGTACATGCACGTATAGCATATATGTGTATGATATACTGTTACGAACCTATTTATAGGAATGCAGTAACCCTTACTACGGTGTTCATTATATACATGAACAGATGTTTACCGTTCCTGGAATATGTTACAGGAATGCATTTCCTTACACTGGGCATCAATGCCTACCCATAGGTTATTACATGCACGTCTAGTGTATATATATATATATATATATATATGATATAACGTTACGAAGAAACTAATCATAGGAATGCAGTAACCCATTATATACATAAACAGTGCACAGTTGTTCACATTTTCCGGGAATATGTTACGGGAATGCATTTTCCTTTTCCGGGCATCAATGCCCAGCGGCTACACGTTTTTACTTGAACGTCAGGTATATAAGGTACTGCATCGTATATACATTACGGTTTATATATAATATAGTGTATATATATATATATATGTTATTCATCATATACATGTACATGTACACTGTAGAAATGTTTATGGTTCCTGGAATTTTTTACGGGAATGCATTATCGTTTCACTAGGCATCCATGGATGTTCACCTACACATTTTTACTTGAACTTCAAGTACGGTGTCTCATTGCATTCTGCTGTTTTACGAATAGAACAACCCCCATATATGACAGGAACCGTGTATATGTGGAATATATAGAAATACGGATTCAACGTTCTTAAGAAATTGTACCGGAAATTATCATTATTTATTTACAGAGTAGCCTTGCCCGCATGGACGCTTTAGAATGCCAAGTACAGTGAAAATATATAGAATAACGTTTCTAGATTTTTAGTCTGCGTGTTAAGAAACCTATATATCTCACAATGGCCCCGAAGCATATATTTAAATATTACAGGGAAAATATACGCGCAATCATTATGGATTCTAAGGGTCTTGTAAGGACGACGTTCGGGTGTACACAGTATATAACAGGTTCATTGTACAGAGATCAGTCCCGGTCGTTGCTCTTTTCGATGCAGTACAATGAACAGTGGACCACTGTTCTAAGGACTTGTATGCAAGTCATGAGCCAAGGATAGAAGTCGGGATTCGAACGCGTAACCTTCTGTCCTGGGAATGCAACGCGCTACGCCACCGGCAATGTAAAAGAGCTGGGGACTGGGATCGACAATAAGCCTATGTGATTAGTACTCCAAACACGTACGGTATAATGTAGCCTTGTTACCAGTCTCCATAGGCAAGCTCATGGGTTCCCCTTGTCTTGTGCTTACGAAACAAAAGACTGCAGGCCTTTCTAATCATAAACCATGCCCGTAGCCAGGATTTTGAAGGAGGGGGGGGGTCTTCCCACTGTCTGAGGGACCAGCGACCTTCTGACATGGCATTTCCTGCATTTTTAGAGGTTTTCAAAGGAAAAATAAGACATAATTTTTTTATTCAATGACAAAGTGAGCAGTTTTTCAACGATTCCAGGTTTGCTGGTGGTACAAATCAGTCCATCTTTTAAAGAAAAATCTTGGAGACCTTTAGACAGGAAGTGGACCTTTGAGCCTTGTTGAGGGTTTCTTCCTACCCCCCCCCCCCTCCCCGGCTACGGGCATGTAGACCAACTAGCGGCGAGTAGTACTCCAAGCCCCGTAGAGATACCGGGGAGCCTACGATGGTCTGCTTCCCAGGCTAAGTACAGGCCGTGTGCCCAACCATCTGAGCAAACGCATTACCATTTCCACGGCGTAGCTTTAGCATCAGTGGCCGGTTGGGTTCACGAATCTTAATGTTTTCCGGTTGAACTAAAATGGCGACACCCTCGCTTATTGCTGCGTTAGGCAATGGGGCATGGGTGTTAAGTGCTGCCTTAGACAAATAAAAGCAGGCACTCGCAACTGAGGTGAAGAATAATGAGTTTTTTTTAAGAAGCTAGTAATATTTTAAGGTTCGCGATTGAAGCTATATAAATGTGTTAGTTTTTTTTACGTGCAGATGTTTAAAACACATGCACAGACACACATGATACACACACACACACAGGCACACACACACACACACATACACACACACACACACACAGACTCACTCACACACACACACACACACATACACACACATACAAACACACACACACACACGCACACAACACACACACACGCATACACACACACACTCACACACACAGACACACACAGACACACACACACATACATACATACCCACACATAAACATACGCACACACGCATACACACGTCACCTGTGGCTCACGCACCCGACTTGCGGAATTTACCAGAAATGCATGGGTCTTCTTGGAGATTAACGGCCCCTAGTAATTTTAGCAACCCGGAGTGGGACAGCAAATACCGTGAAAGTCTTGTTCTGAGGATTTCAGCCTGTGGAAAGTTTGTCTTTTCTTGTCTCCGCTAACACATTAACTTTAGCACTTAACAACACCACGAAGGGATCCTATGAACAGGCACCTGACCCCCCATTCTTTCATCATTGGTTTATCTTAAACAAACACATAATTTAAAACACAATACTGTACAAGTACAACTTGGCAGCAACTAAGGCTGAATTGTGTGATTTAGAGGGTTTGACAATCATATAGGTAAAATCCTGAATGTCACACTGTGTATTAAAGCGGTGGATTACATATATCATTTAAATCATACATCTAACAGACTATACATGATTGCTTAACATGTGGACAAGGTATGGTGTGGATACTGTGGACAAGGTATGGTAGTGTGCTTCTGTAATATCGTTCGGTGTGCGCTGGCAATTGGTCAAGTTTTGTTTGTTATCTCATGTCATGCAAGTATCCAGTGAAGAACGTCATTGTGTTGTTGGAAACGACACATTGTTTATTTAATTAATACACCCGAGTTTACCATTCAATGGACGGCAAACACGGCGCGGGTGACAGAAGGTCATGGTTTCCAGTTACCTGATTTGTCGTGGGTACAATAGGTGTCAAATTCGCAATGTTTATGTGTGATACGCTGTGCGCCATGTTGTGACTTTGGTCGTTCTGGTTCAAGTTAGCGGATTCACAGTGCAGTTCACATCTGAAACAAAAAACATCCAGACACCGTTGTGGGTACCATCAGCAACAACGGCCTGCAGTCCTTCAAAGTCAGAGTCTATCGACATCTCCTTCATTGTCATTGGAACACTTGGCAGCTGTGAGCCATTGATCGCCCACTAAACTGTTTTCCTATGTGGGTATTGCTCACCATAGCACATTATATAAACAAAGCGGATTCACCAACACCAGGGACCCCAGCAACTGTTGTCTGATCCACTATGGCTTCAGGTAAGATGCAACATAAGGTGAAGCATAATGATTTTTTTTTCAAGTAGTTAGCAATATTTTAAGGATTGGGTGTACAGCTCTACGTACGTTCCAAGTGTTTACGTACATTTGTTTGAGACACGCACGCGTGCACACAAATACGCACACACGCACACACAGACACACACACACACTGAGACACATACACACGCACACATACATGTATACACATGCACTCATACACACACTCGCGAGCGCACACTCACTCACACACACACACATACAAATCACCTGTGGCTAACGCACAGGACTTGCGGAATTCGCCAGAAATGCAATTCCAAGACCTTTGCATGTGCGATATCTGCAATTCAACTTGCTCTCGCTAAATTTCATTTGAACCTATTAAATGAAATCACCCAAGCATGACAAGCCGTTCAACCTGTCCTTAGGTCAAATGTAAAAGGTGACCAAACAGGTTTTGTCACAGTTCAAACCACCAGTTCCTACAGGCTCAAGGTAAAGAACTTCTATATTTTCAAGGTTAGTTTGAGAAATACCTACCCAGTTATGTATTATTCTTATATTATAAGATACTTGCCCCCAAATAAAAAACTAAATTTTAATCTTGATAGACACCACGATACCACTCACGATTCAGTTACCGACAATACAGTCTAGCGTCTATATTACTTTGAAAGGGTATTGAAATCCGCTAAACCTATTATCAAGTTAAAGAGGTGCTTTGCAGGAGGCCATTGTAAAACATGCAGCCACAGGTCCGGTGTCAATTTACTAACTTAGTCTTAAGTGTACCGACGGCGGATGTTTTTACAGTGCTTTCCCAGCAATACAACCAGAGTTGATTGGCGGATGTTTTTACGGTGTTCAAATTTCACCCGGCCTTTTGTGCTGACTTCCTGGCTCCCATTGTAGCATTTGGGGCTATCATAAGATGTCTAGGTCTGTTTTTATTATTTTTTTCGCCCTGTCGTTTCATATTTTATGAAAAAAAAAATCCGAGAACGGACAGATTAAATTGGTATGGCCTTACCCTACAATACAATTAGAGTTAATGGCTGCTCCCATTCATAACGCACAGGGAAAGACGGTTCACAAAGTTGTGGCCCGTGATTCTGTCAATACGCCCACTGCTCTTGAATCCAATGTTTGTCTTTCGGCACTCCTTTTCCGCTGAGAACAAGTGAAAGGTGGGGATGTTTTTCTTTAACCCCAGCCCTTTCAAACTTTAACGGTATTTTAGATCGAGTAAACATCATTAGAGGAATGTTGTTCAAAAGATAAATATATCAAAAGCATCAAGTGCAGTTTTAGGGCATGAATACCTGATTTTTCAAAGCCAATATTCTAGTCATTTATTTACATACTGAGTTACAATGCAGCATGGAGCAAAATTCCCAAAATTCTGACGGAAAATGGTTACTGGAAGGGCCCTGGGCTGATTTTCGGGTACCACCCAGAAAGTAAAGGACTCATCTTGGGGCTTGTTTCTGCAGTTTTAAAAGCCCAAAGTATAAAGTACTGACTCAAATGTGCTAATGTGAAACACCATGAGTCAATGTCACAAAGATTGCTGTATTAAAAATATTTCAAGTTTTGCTGCCCTGAAATCGCACTGGATGTCTTTAAACGCATTGAAGAACATGGAATATTACACCGGTAGTGGGATCGTGTGGCGTAGCGGCAGTGTGCTCGACTCGGAACCAAGAGGTCCCGGGTTCGAGTCCTGACATGCCACCGATCTTGTGCCGTGATAAAGGCACTTTACACGACTTTCCTCACTTAGCTCAAGTGCAAAATTAGTATTGTCCTGTCCTGTCCTGTACTCTGCGTTGGTGGCGACATAAAATAAGTTAATATAACTTGAGTGTGCTGTCGCCATGTTTGGTCAAAAATGGTTGGAATAAACAAAACAACCCACCTCCCCCCTTTAGATGAGCGTCACCTTACGTCACGTTGTTGGCAAATTCCACAGAAGAACGCTGACGAGTCATACACCTGTCCTTCGCCAAATAAGGAGTTGGTCACGCCCCTGCAACTTCAGGTGTTCATTCAGCAGCACAGGTAGAGCAACGCGTGGTCTTCACGCCTCTCCTGTCTCGGCCTGTGTTCTTACTCGACTTTCACAGCCTCAAGGCGTGACAGCGAAGGTCTGTACCTTACGACGTTTGCCTCAAGACACTGGTGAGTCTTAAAGACGCAACAAGCTTCAGTTCGTACGATTTGAAACGCCTGGTGATAGAATATAGTAGCTGAATTGACTGTAATTGAGTTTAACCGTCTGCCAAGTGGTAATGTAAGTCCAATTGTATCTCGAGTGGGTCTTAGGTTACCTTTAAAACGTAGTACGGCCTCGAGTGGGCCTTATGTTATCTTAAATAAGCAGCACGGTCTTGTAGCTGTGTAAGAAAAGCAGGCAGTGTATTTTTGATCGGATTTTCTTTGATTGTTAATTTTGGTCGTGTCAGCTAGTAGCGCCCCTCCCCCTTCGACCTATCTATCCGGTATGATGCAATATAAACGCTGTACTGTGCCTTTTCTGCTTAATTTAAAACTGAATTGTGCTAAATATAACTATGATTATTAAGGACTAACAGGATTCTGTAACATTTATTGTTGGATTAGTTTAAGTACCTCAGTTTGAGTCCTCTCTAACAGTTGTAGTCTTAAAATCAGGCTTCACAGGTTGCACTTCAGTAATGACCTCAGGGGGAAGGGGCTTGAATCTGTCCATATTGTCTGTCTGTATATTTGGCTGAGTATCTGTCTGTGTCTGTATGCGTTTTTATGCGTTTGTCTCTCTTTGTGATGATTGGCATTGTCGAACATGCCTGCCACAAAGCCTTTTACAGAGGCTACGATCCGCCTTCCCACAAATGGGGGCCTGCATGCCGTTTTTCGTAAGGCGAAATCAGGCCTTTTTAGTCGTCGTAATCCGTAGGCAGCTTCCCCCAAAATCAACGTAATCCGTAATAGTACATTAGCCACAAAGCTATAAGTCGTAATCAGCTCTGAGAATTTAAGGTAATTCGTAATCGGCGGCGAGAATTTTGCATAATTCGTAATCACTCCCCCCCCCATACAGGCCCTCACAAATATGTGGTTCACCGACTTTGGCTATAATCTTCGAATTCGCTGACGTGCAAACTGCCAGTGCAGGTCGCCCCACACAGTACGTGACATGACATTAACCAGTCATGCGTAAGGTATTGGGTGGGGCGTCTGGGAACATAATGCCTCGACAACTTTACAGGCTAACATATAATCCTCTAACGTCTTCCATGGTTTACAGAAGAGAATTCAAACCCTTCAGACATAGTTTAAGACATAGTTATAATAGTTCTAGACAACTACCTTTCATCATGTAGACTTAAGTTACTTTATACTCTGTTTAAATGTTCATTTATGTTTGAAATTTGCAATTAGCCTCCGGGCATGAATTTGCAATAATCTTCACTGAAATTCTTTCTATCAGTTTGTATTTTTTGGGTCTACCACAAGGTGTTTTTTTGCTGATTATTTTGTCGGTTGATGTGTCTGTTTTTCTGCACTTTTTTCTGTCCGTGGGTTGCTGCGATTCATAATACACGCAATACAGCAAGTGTATATACCCTCATGCACTACTGCAAACTTTTGTCTATTTGACTAAAAAGGTCGAAAAGCAACATGAATAATGGGTTAAAGTCTGTCATCTCTGATTGCATCATTTAACTTTAAAGCAAAAGGTGATGCCAACCATAGAATGAAGATCTTGTTGCCCGAGGCACAAAATTATCTGTGTGTGTCTCTGTGACCTTCTGTAAATCCCAATATACGCAATGCAGCAAGTGTATATACCCTCGTACAGTACTGCAAACTTTTGTATTTGGGGCTGGAAAGGTCACAAAGCACCATGAGTAAGGGGTTGAAGTCTGCCATCTCTGATTGCATCATTCAGCGTTGAAGCACGAAGTGATGCCAACCATAAAATGAAGTTCTTGTTGCCCGAGGCACATAATTATGCATAAATGTCGCTGACTGCAAACAATGAACATCCGCAGGTACAACAGCTTCTGACAAATCGTGAAAATTCCTACACAGGATGTGGAAAGGTCAAATGGGAGGGATAGATAACAGGGCTCGAAATTCATTTTTTGGAAATAGGTTGACTGGTGCACCCAACCTAAAAAATTAGGTGCACAAATTTTTTTGGGTGCACCATATGACTTATTATAAGATAAAATAAGTAGAATGTCAGCAAAAACTAATTATGTTTCATTTCTAAAGAAAAGTACTATTGCCGTTCTTCCAGGGTGTTGTACACGTCGAAGTGTATCCGACATGGCGAGTAAGTCTGTGCGACTGCCGGAGCGAAGTGGAGCGGAGTTTGCTGATAAAGAGTTCCCGTTTACCAACCTGGTCCTGGAGGGGGGCGGAGCGAAGGGAATCGCCTACATCGGAGCTACCAAGGTAAGGCACTCAAGTAGCTACGACGTATTTTAACGCTACCACTTACACTGTTACACATAATGAGAGGGTAAATTAACAACGAATCCAATATAAAGGAAATACAGATGATAATTTATATGCGTGTAACATAATGTAAGAAAGATGTTCTTCTTCTTCAAACGAATAAAGTTAATGGCCTGGACCAGACGTCTGTCACCATGGTAACTAGCACTTTAGCAGACAGCCTGTGGTGTTGGGTTACATTATGTAGCAGGACAGAGTTGAAGGGGCTGGTCACCATATTATATATGAATGTGTTTGAGTAATAGTATTCAGATCAGCAATTTGTTAGGCTAGACCAATTGTGAGGGAAACATTATGTATTTGCTTTTAAATTGTTGCCTTTCTAGTTGAATTTTTTTTCTATTTCAGATCCTGGAGGATGCCGGGATACTGCAGAACATCCGTCGGTTCGGCGGGACCAGCGCAGGCGCAATAACAGCCGCCCTGCTGGCCTGCGGGATGACGTCAGAGGAGATGATGGAGACGCTGAGTGAAGCCGACCTGTGGGGCATTCTTATGGGTAACATCACGTTTCTCTTTTCTTCTTCTTCTTTCTTTAGTCTCTTGATCTTCCTTTCTTTACCCAGTACCTTTCTTCCCTCCTTCTTAGTAGTAATACTCTCTCTCTCTCTCTCTCTCTCTTTCTACCGTACTTATGGTTAGGGGGAGCCGTTTCTCTCTCCTCTTCTTTTCTTTTTCCTTTAGTCTCTCTTGCTCTTCGCCTGTCTTTTTTCCTTTCTTTCTCTTTTTTCTTAGGGTTGACCTTCTGCAGCTATACCAATCGCTTTGAACACATTGCCAAACGTCTCAGGAAGTTGCACTGCACGGAAAGTTGTATTTACCAAAGGTTGTAAACTCAGGTAATGTTTTCTATGTACACAGTATCTGGCTTTACAATTATGGTAGTAAATAAAGGTCAATTACAGCAATTTCCTTTACAACCGTTAAAATCCGGTATTATCGTATTTGACTGTTATTTACTGTAAAGTTCAGAAGTGTTTTTTAATCATCTTCAACATGGGCGCTTTTTTAGCTATTTTGTTTCACAAAATTCCTTCTTTCCTCTTTGCCTAGCATCTTCTTTAAATATATTTTGTGTCTTTACAGATGGCGGGAAGTGGCGATGGCCGTTGGAGGTTTTGGATTACGCCGATCTTCTTTTGTTTCGTTTTTTCTTTTGGATCAGATTTTGGATCGGATACTTCCTCTTCAACATGGGCGCTTTTTTGCTATTTTGTTTCATAAAATCCATCTTCTTTATTTTTTTTTCTAGCGTCTTCTCTAAATATGTTTTTGTGTCTACACAGATGGTGGTACTTGGCGATGGCCGTTGGAGTTTCTGAACTACGCCGCGTACGCCCGGCATCTGATCTTCGACATGGGCGCCAACCCCGGGGAGGAATTCCTGACGTGGTTCGGCAAAGTCATCGGGGACGTGGTCAAGAAACACGGTCTGGACGAAGACGTTACTTTCTTGGAGGTGGGTCTTACCTTTGATATAATTAATTTTCCGTCGTTAAGGTAGGTATGTACTAGTCATCCTTCCATCTCGAGAGATAATGGTAGCACTCTAGGTCTGGTGTTGTGGCCGTGTGCAGTGTCTAGTGTGGCTTATCAGCCCTATCTTTGCATGGCAGTCCCGGACACAGTTGGAACAACGGAAAGATGATCTATTTTGTTGATGTGGTTTCTCTATTTATCTTCCGTTTTTTAAGACCTGCTAATTAAGTGCTTCAAGTATATCAGAAGCAATACTTCTGTTTAGTTATGTAGCACCTCTCTAGGTACTGGACCGGATAACGTCGCATGCAAACTCTACCAACATGTTGAAGACTGGAAATTAAAGATGAACCACTTCAATTGTTTATACACGCCCAAAAGTCCTTCACGTAGACCTTTACGCCTGTTTTACGGTGTGCGTAAACATAGGATTTCGTACACTGATATAAATGAGTTTTGCCATGTTTCCGCTGTACAAGGTGCTTGGCCATGAGCTGTATAATTTGTGGCGTCGTGTGGTGTAGTGGTACATCATTGGACTATGAAACAGGGAGCCCCGGGTTCGATTCCGGGTCGTACCCGAACAAGTCCGAACATGCGCCCTGACGTTGTACCCTTGGGAAAGGTACTTTACACGAATTTCCTCACTTCACTCAGGTGAAAATGAGTACCTAGCTTTGGTTAGGGACGTCCCTCGGATAGGACGTTAAATGGAGGTCCCGTGTTTGGGAGAGCCACACCCCACGCACGTTAAAGAACCCACCACACTTATCGAAAAGAGTAGGGGACCTTCCCGGTGTGAGTGGTTCAAACCTTACAGTCTGGTCTCAGGTTTGACATCTTTGAAGAGGTGATAGTCACCTGTTATGTCAATCCTTCCACTAATGCGGTAAATCTTCATAAATAAATAAATAAATAATGTGATATGATAATATGATAATATGATACTAGAAAGGTAATATTTGCAATTGGAACATAATGTATGCAACATGATTGGTTCAGGTCATAGAGGTCACTGTTTGGAGAAGAAGAAGATGAGGAAGAAGAAACTGAGCAAAAACAATATGTTTTCCTTCGGTAAACAGAATGATGTGATATAATATATGTTTCAGCTGTACAAGGTTCTTGACCGTGAGCTGTGTATCGTGTCATACAACATACAATACGGGCGGGAGATGTACTTCCACGTCAAGACTACGCCGCTCATGAAGGTGAAGGAGGCCGTCCGCATGTCTATGTCAATCCCCGGTATGGTACTTCCTGATGGTCTTCTACCCTCGTCTCATATCACCCAATTTATCCCATAGTCTAGTTGTTTATAACCGCTGAGGCAGCACAAATGATCAGTTTTCTACACCAGTTTTTCAGTTAGGATCATGCTGGTTCTCTATCTGATATTTTCCTCTCCTCTTTTCTTTTGCCTGACCCTCTTTCTTCCGGACTGCGTTTTTCCTTTGCACAATGGTTTTGGCTAATTCCGATGACCGTGAAACGTGACTATATCACATGTAGACCCTTAATAATAAAATTGTCCAATTTCAAATAAAAAAAAGATTAAATACAAGCAAATTCTAACACTGCTGTACGTAGCCTAGTGTCTCTACTAAAGTTTCTTTTTTCTGAATCAGGAAAATTGATGGCCATACATAATATTTACTTACCGTGCTCTAAGGAGAGACTGCCTTCTGTTGTTCCCCAGTGGCGTTCCAGCCTTACCAGAGGGGCGGGTTTCTGCACGTGGACGGAGGTCTGGTCGCCAACTACCCCGTCTACTGCTTCGACGGTAAGAACTACTGATTGGGAATAGGGGACTTCTTATATTTATCAACATGTATACCTTGTAAGACATTGCTTGATACTGTTTGCATATCATTTGTCAAGCAGCAATGTAATAATTATAATGTGTTAACGTAAGGGTCTTGGTCAAAAAGCCTAGCCGGCCAAAATGTCTCACAAATTAAAAAAAATAGCCTTTTGTAAGCTGTCTATTTAAGGGTCCTAATTCAGATCATCAGGACCTTCTTTTGGGGAAGATTTTTGGTATTTGTTATGGTCAAAAATATGTTGAGTTGGCTGCTTTTGTGACTGGACTCCCATATATGATGTTTTTATGTATTATATAAAAAAAAAAAACTGACCATGGCCTGTCTTCGCTATTCCAGGCTGGTGGTTGTCCTTGAACCCAGAGGACACCTATAAGGCCAAGTTCGACGGGAAAACGGAACCGGAAGTCAAGGCCCTCATGAGCCCCGAAAATCTGCGTGATAAGCGTTTCAGCCCAGTGCAGGACAGCAATGGCGGGAAGAAAACTCTGGGGCTTATTCTGGTGTGTTTTTATCCCTATTTGTCATGATAGTAAGTAGTGATACCAAAAGATAGTATTAATAGTAGTAGTAGTTATGACAGCGGTTGCAATTGTACTATTAGGAATGATGTGTTTTCTAAAACCCCATTTTCTGAGGAAAAAGATGTATTATTTATCCCCAGTTCTTCTTAAAAAAATTGACCCATTTTTTCCAGGAAATTCTGTATAGTTAAAACCCACTTCTTTTAGAAAATAAATTCTGTATTGCTAAAACTTTCGGGGAATTTTTGTATTTTGAAAACTTAATTCTTTCGGGAAATTCTGCATTGCTCAACTCCAGTTCTTCCAGAAAGTCCTGTATTGTTAAAAATAGTTTCCCCTGGAATTTTTTTTCCTAGTGCTCATAATTTCCTGGAAATTCTGTGTTTGAACATAGTTCTCCGAAGACACGGACCCTTCGCCTTACGAGGAACAGTTGAGAGGTCGACTGACGAGGCTGGAGGAAAAAGATCCATCCGCCAAAAAGCAGCGTCCAGACACCGAAAAGGGAAGGTGCAAAACGTTTTTATTTGCTTCTGTCTAATTCAGTCCAAGTAATGACAATGAATGACTTGTTACCTTACTTACTTACTTTACTTACTTGTTACCTATAGGTTCGAAAGTAGTTTTAGGTGGCTAAAATATGTTACTTCTATGCAGGTATGGTTGCGTGTCTGAATTTCTGAGAGTTTGAAATATCTGATCCCTTGTTTTGATTTTTTAGTCATCCTTGATTGGCTTTGGGGAAAACGTCAGGATGAAAAAAGAGAACTATTATTGTTGTGTATGTCTTCGTTTAGTTGGGAAATTATTGGTACAGCAAAATGCTCTTGATCCTTGTCCGTGCTTAAAAAATCTTCAGTTTTTTTTTAACCGGTGCAATAGCTCAATTGGTAGAGTGCTCGCTTTGTAACCGGGAGGTCGTGAGTTCAAACCCCGGCCGGGTCATACCAAAGACTTTAAAAAATGGTACACACTTCTTTCTATGCTTAGCACTCAGCACATATGAGAAAAAGTGTGGGAAGGTCAAACACACAGCACTACCAGTGGACTAGCCCCCTGCTGTAGTGCATTGCACAATTGTGTGTCGCCCAAGGGTAACGAAATGGAGATGGGCACCACCCTACGCTCGGGCAAGAGCACGGGAGACCTTCTTCCTTCTCCTTTTTTTTACAATATTCTCTCTCTCTCTCTCTCTTGTGCATCCACACCTCTATTTTTCTCTCTCCCTTTATCTTTTGTTTTTGGTACATGCAGCGCCTACGAAAAGAACCACGCGCAAAGAGAAGAGTTTAACCAGCAGGAGAGGGAGAGGCTCGTGACTTACGGGAAAGGATTAGTCAAGATCGAGAAGATTTACAAGAACTCCACACCTGACACCCTGGAGGAAAACTTCATGAAGGTTTGTTCAGCAAAAAAAAAAATAATACTGATACTGTTTATTCACACTGATTGAAAACCATATACATTGTTGGCTGAATTGCACAAGTGATTACATGTTTAAAAATTTGAAAGAGATTAAAAAGCACAACATTGATGATTAAAATTAAATAGATTTAAAATTTTGTAGGTCGGTCCATTGAAACAGAGGTGGACTACTATTTACTAATCTTGGTTACTGAGGTTTATTGCCTGAAACAGAAAAGATTTCCTCAGTCTTTCAGTTCTGAACTTCGGTACGGAGATGTGGTTTCTTAATAATCTTGCCCTGACTGGGGACCTACAACATTAAGCCACAAACCCTAGGCTGTACCAGGCACACGTAGAAAGTGACCAAGCAGACAAAAATAGTATACAAGAGGATGTTCCTTGTATATTATTGTCATGTCTATAAAATAGTGTAGTATTAGACAAGTGTTGATAATTTCAGTAGAAGGATACCTACCTAATCAATAGATAGATTTTATATATAGTAGAAACTAGTTTGATATCATGCTTCTCTGAAGAACCTGCCATACATTGTACCCGTGACAGCTGTTGTGCAATAAATATTGATTTGATTTTGATTTGAATAATAAGAGTTATCTGAGTGGGTAGATAGTACAGTTTAAAACCACGGGAGCTGGTAGTGTACAGTCCTTTGCCGGCAACCCTATAGACGGCTTGGACAATACATACTTTTTCCAGCAACCTGGGGAGCCTTACATAGAGGCTGCCATAGCCCTACACATCCTTTTAAACAATCATTTTGCCGCGTGCTATGCCCTGGGACAGAAAAAAAATTATGATGTGAATTTTCAAATTTTGTATTTTTCAGGAATTCAAGGACGATGACTTCGAACCTTGGGGCTGGACCAAGGCCGAGGCATTTGCTGCATACTTCCCACATTTGGAGGGAAAGGTACGCTAGACAGTGTGTGTCCATGTGCAGATGTTTAGTTTTTCCCTACATTCTTCCGTTCAGTCTGGCACAAATGCACGTTCCAGCATACACGGAAACTATCCGCGGTCTGCTAACAATATAATAGGATTACGTAGGCTGGATATACGATAGCCCAATCAGCCCTTGGCAGTGAGGATTTTTTTTAACTCACTCTCACTCACTCAGCTCCGCATGCCCCTCCAGGGGGCGTAGCGCCTCTGCATACAGCCCTCGAGGTCTGCCTGTCTCCGGCTGCTACCCAGGTGATGTCCAGTCCTGCAGCCTGTAGGTCGGTAGACAGCAGGTCCGTCCATGTGCGCCTCGGTCTCCCTCTAGGGCGGGACCAGGTCGAAGGAGGCGGTTCTCTTACGAGAGAGCCTAGTTCAAGAGGTGGTTCCGCCCTGGCAATGTGGCGGAAGAGATTTTTTTAACGCAGGCTAGAAATGTCTACAGCGTTTTGAACTCTGTCATTTATTCAGGATCCCTCTGATGACGTTCTGAAGCACCTGATGGACAACTGGCTCGTGCTGGAAGCAAAGACCCTGTCCCAGGGCGAGAGGAAAGTGTCCAAGTCCTCGGAGTACTACGGCGCTCTCATGGACTTCTACGGGAAGAACGAACCCTTTGAGGTATGTGTGATAAAGCAAAAGCTTGCTCCTAAACATGCGATTCTTACCTACTTCCTACTTACTTATGCGATATTGTTAAGCTTATTTAGTATATAGTACTTATTTAGTTGTCTACTGTGCAATATTTGTTTCTCTGTTTTTAACACTAGCATACAATTCAGCGCCACTTACTTAGTTGCGCTGCCACATGCTAAAGATTGTACCCATCGATCAATCAATAAACAGTGGCTACACTAGCGGTCAGAGGTTCAATTCCTGACATAACTGGCTAGACGCTGTGACAATGCGCTTCTCTACTCGACTTTTCTCACACCACTTGTAAAATGGGTATAGTTGACTTTGGTTGGGGAGGTAAAAGGTGGTGGAAGGAGGAAAATGGACTTCAAAACCAAGTCCTGGACACAGTAGATTAACAACCAAATGCTCCTGCGACCTCAAAAAATTTATGGAGCTACTTTACATTTATGGCATGATACGGTAAAATCTAATAAACATGTCAATTGTTGTTACTAGGAAGAAGACGTGAAGCGGACCATCGGCATAGACGTTGACTACGTGGGAACCATGGACTTCGACATGGCACACGAGGACATGAACTTCCTCATGGACGTGAGTTCTTCTCGATTTGTATCTTTTATACCTTTCTATATAGCGTTGCTTTCCTGGCCGAAGAATCCAAGCTTTCTCTTGCAAAGTGGCGGTTATTTCTTTGTTTTCCAGCAGCAAAATGAGTTTTAGATTGAAATCAATTCTATGCATCAGACAGCCACATTTTACTTTTTATTGCCTACATTTGGATTGAAACACCACACAGCATATAGTAGAGTGGATTCATTCCTCAAGCTAACCGACATCTCGCACACGCAGTCGTCCCTCAGAAAGACATCTGGGGTCGCATAGTTCCCGTTTAGGAATCTTATTCGGCCTGTCACACGTTTTTTTTTTTTTGCTATTAAAACTAGCTCAGATTGAATATACAATATTATCGAGTATGTTCATATTTTTGTTTTTCTGTCTGCCCAACAGCAAGGCGCTGCAGCTGCGGTGGCATTCCTGAGGGAGTACCAGTCTGAAGCCTGACAACTTCCAACAACAAGTCCACACAGTCCATATGTTATTAGCAGTTAGTACAACATTCTTCAATCAGTGACTGTTTTGAAAGGTAGTCAACACATACATGTACATGTACCCCCAAATTTTCGACGTTCAATCAGTGACTGTTTTGAAAGGTAGTCAACACGTACATGTACCTCCAAATGTTTGACGTCTACTCACGTCTTGGGTATGGGGTGATCTAGTCACTGATTGGTGAATATTCTACTAACTGTTAATCTGTGCGCAAAAAAAGATCACCAACGACATGCATGTCAAGAAGGCTATGGTTTTGCTATGCTGCTTGGTTTTGCTCTGCTGTTTAGCGGGAAAGTTATAAACTCATGTGTCTGCCTGTTCTGTTTTCATTCATTTTTTGTGGGTGAATCGTGGAGATGAGAAGGTACTATAATAATAGAAATATATGGCTTTATTAACTGTTTCAGCAGGTTCTATCTACGAATCATTTTGATAAGGGAGTATAAAATGCAGTGCCAGTGGAATGACTTGGCAAAGTTTGGAAGTAGGAATGATTATACGTCAAACGTATACGTCATGGTTTATAAACCTTACTGCGGATTTGCAGCAACTTGAATAAAGCTTGTCGGTTTGCAAGACTTACCATTGTCTTTCCTTCTTGTAATCTAGAAACATATGAGGTTTGACTGTAAGCTAAATATGAAAAGTAACGCGTTCTTTATTTATTTATTTATTTGAACTTTGTCACAAAGACAGGACAGAGGAACACGCCCCCTGTCCAGATACAAACATACATGAATCTACAATACAAGTAATGACACAAACAAGTCATCACTAACAATGTTCTAAGAAGTAAATAATAAAACAAAACAACTGTAATAACTATGATAACTTTGGTACAAATAATACTAACAACAGTAAAGATGATAATAACGATAGCGGATTTTGCGTGCAGATTTTAAAGCAACTAAATACACAAAAACCTGCCTTAAAAAAACACAAAAACAAACACGCAAAAATGATGGACAATGATGAATATACTGGGCTAAACTCGGATGAACTTAAACGGCTTCGAAGCGTCTGGTTGATTTTGACATAATTTATGACTTGATCCGTCGCAGGCCGCCAGTCCTAACCTTTGCCATTGTTGAATCTACGTAACCTAGTAAGGCGCAAAAAGTTGTCAGACTGGTTTGTCGAAATCCCGAACCGCGACCCGAAGAAAGCCTCTCTTGCCACATGTTTACACTTTAAAGGTGGGTTTTCCCCATTATTTTGTCAATTATATTAAAAATTGTTGTCAAGCTATGTTTGTGACGGTGTTTTAAGTCCAAGTTAAGGCACTAATAAATATAAAAAGTGATTACGGACGATTAGGAAGGTGACGAGTTTAACAGGGCAAATCAAGATGGCGGATACAACACACCCCTTAATGTATAGGATTAAGTAATTACGGTCTGTGAGCTCTAATGAACATTTCTGCAGCATTTGGACTATTGTTCTCTTAATTATTATTCTCTAAAGCTGGTGTGTTACGCCGAAAGGCGGTTATACCGGCTATACAGATACCGATTATCGCACAGTATTTAGAAATAGACCGATATTTTCAGGTCACCGAGCCCTCAGGCTGTTTAACGTAACTGAGGGTTGGGTTTGATACAAAAAAAAAATTGCGATTTAGAAATTCGCGGAATTTTTTATGTTGTGTCGGCACATTTTGAAGGTAGAACATCGTAAGAATGGCTTCCAAGACTTCCGAGGTGCGACTTCCAAAGGCGAGCGGAGACGTCTTTGCCGGGAAGGAGTTTCCATTCACCAACCTGGTCATGGAGGGGGGAGGGGCCAAGGGCATTGCGTACGTCGGAGCAGTTAAGGTAAGCAAGGCTAGTCATACTTCGGAAATAAAAACACAGAACTTTTTAAACTTGAATTCCATATACAAAATCTTATAATGTTTACCGAAGGAAAACATATTGTTTGTGCTCCGTTTCTTCCTCTTCTTCTCCAGTGACCTCTGACCTGACCAATGACCTGATTTGTTGATGTCTGTCACCATGGTAACTGGTGTTGGGTTACACAATGGTGCAATTTCACGGTCTGCTCCGGACTCCTGTCACCATATACAATGTACATGTATGCATTGTGAATGTGTTTGAGTAAGAATTAACAAAGCAGGTCATACGCGAAGGTAAACATTATGCATTTGCTTTGCAATTGTTACCTTTCTAGTGTTTGTGATGATTTTTTTTCAGATTCTGGAAGACGCTGGAATCATGAAGAACATCACGCGGTTTGCGGGCACCAGTGCAGGAGCCATCACCGCCGCCATGTTGGCTGTAGGGATGACGTCAGAGGAAATCAAGAGGGAAATGAGCGAAGTGGACATGCTGAAAGTCGTGATCGGTGAGACTTTTCACATAAAAATATAAATTTTTCAAACATAAAAAAGTTGTATAGTAGTGCATGTTTTTGAAATTGAGCAATTATTATCTATCTATATATTCATATCCATTTATTATGACCTTTTGTTTCTCACAATATAGATACAGTTTATATATGTAAATTGTATACCTATTATTACATACAGCCATGTACTAATCGACAAACAGATCCTTGGGTAGCAAAATGCAGTATAAAATTGGCCAGGCAGTATCCATTCGCACCCTAGGGTTCCTGATGCACCCTTCGGTGGTGTATGGGCCGTCTGGCGAATGGATACTGGCTGGACAATTTTATACTGCTTTTTGTCACCCTAGGATCCGATTGGGGATTACCGTGAATATCTTTTCCTCCCCTGTACCCCCAGACGGCGGCGGCCCGCTGCCCGGCGTGTTTAAGAAGATCGGGATGGGGTTTAACGTCATCTGTGACGCCGGAGCCAATCCCGGAAACAGGTTCCTTGAATGGATGGGGAGCATCCTGCAGAAATACCTCGCAAAACATCAACATAAAGACCTGGGGAAAGACGTCACATTTTCTCAGGTTAGTTTTCTTTTAACTATTCCGTGGTATCGTTTGCTTGCTTTCTATAATTTTTTCAATGCGTTGCCTTTAAAGTTACTGTATTTCTAAACTTCTTTATAGATGTGTTAATTATGCAGTTTTCAATTCATGATTAAAAGACAATTTTGAAGAACAAATTATAAATTCTATCCTACTACTCGGAGCATCTTAAGAAACAATACCTTTGGTTACTTTGCTGTACAATCATCAACATATAAATATATAACATAAATTTACATGCAGGCCTTCTAAAATGATTCCATAAGAGGAAAAGGGAAAACACCACCTTCCTTCCACCTCTTTTCTAAGTTGTATCAAGCCAAAAATTATATCACCAAATCCCAAATGAGAACTGAAAGGCATTTATATTAGTAGATTTATCCCTAATTCCTACCATCCCTTCCTTAGTTGTACCACGCGTTAGGCCATGAGCTGTGTATCGTGGCGTACAACATGGAGTATGCGCAGGAGACGTACTTCCACGTCAAGACCACGCCTCTTACCAAGATTCGAGAGGCTGTGCGCATGTCCATGTCCATTCCAGGTACGTCATAATCTTCATGACGTCAAAAATTCAAAGAAATGAATTGTCAAAAATATTTTAGACAGCCACAGCTTCATACGTAACATACTTTTATAGGCTACATACTTTATACAACATAAATTATTCTTTATTATATGTTAAGTTGCCATTTGAAAAACATTTCGGATAGCCACAGCTTCATACGTGACATACATTATAGGCTACATACTTTATATAACATTATTTCTATTATATGTTAAGTTGCTGTTTCGTTTGTGACTTAATGTATACTTGTCTAGTTGTATTTTTACTAGTATTTATGGTAAAGGCCCCTGGGCAACCCCGGGTAAAATGATAGAAAATAAGATAAATAAAAACTGAAATTTCAGTCATTTGTATAATCATTTCTTTGAGGAACTTTCTTGTATTCCCAGTTGTGTTCCAGCCGTTTAAAATCGGCGGGTTTAAGTACATGGACGGCGGTCTGGTGGCCAACTTTCCTGTGTACTGTTACGATGGTAAGAGTTATCTCTACTGATTCGCTTTTCTTTCATTATGGGAATGAAACAAGAAATTTACGAGTTACGTATCGTAAGGACTACTTCTTGGAGGTGTAAGATCTTCGACTTCTTCTCTTTAAGTTGGCAACCTTCGATGTAGGTCTTCTAAGGGCAGAACAAGTATAAGTAAATGCAGAAACGCTGTAAGATAACAAAATATTTTTGCTCACATTACTAGTATGTAGCTGAACAGGGCTCATCATGTATTTTATGTGGATGTGTTTCATTAAGAATAAACAGTTAATTTATTTTATGTTCTGATATACCATGCAAACACTTTGCAGGGAATTAAGATTTCATGCTAGTAAACACATTGCATTTGCTTTGCAAATGTTACCTTTGCCCGGGCTGGTGGCTGTCCATCTAATCAACAGTAACAATCTAAAAACTAAAAAAAAATCTGTCTACCTCTCCCCAGGTTGGTGGCTGTCCATGGAGAAGGGCGACACGTTCAAAGAGCGGCTGGGACACATGTCGGATGCCGAGGTGAAAAAACTGCTCAGCCCAGAGAACAAGAAGGAGCGCTTCGGCGGGAGCAACCAGGAGCGGAAGGAGACCCTGGGAATGCTCCTGGTGAGGACGTTCTGCGTAATCAAATACTAAAAAAATCAGTTCGCTATAACTAATGATAATAATTGGCCAGGAGGATTAAGCTAAAGTTCACTTTCCAGGACTACTATATGAACGGCTAACTCTCCTTGCATACACCCCCTTATGCCGATTTCGTCTGTTCATTTTGCCTTGAAATTCATTGTCAGTGGTGTATGACTTACCTCAAGTCGACAGTTTTGAGTTGCTACGCCATAACGTGGGAAATCGATAGACAGACACATTCAGACAGACAAGACACTTAGTCTACTTCTCTGCCTTACAGCAAATAAATTTTGCATGCTTAAATTTAATGACACAATCAAAGCTGTGTGATTTCTCCGTCTCCAGTTCTCTGAACAGCTTGACCAGGAAGCGTACCAGTGGGTGTTCCAGGACCGGCTGACAAAACTGGTGGGAGAAGACAGCAACTTCGAGAGACGTCGGCCGGACACGGAGAAAGCGAAGTAAGGCACAGAAAATGTTTCCATACATAATACTCATACATACATGAATCAATCAGTCATTCGCACCATAATGGCGATGCATGGACGCTGCATACATGCACAGGCCCTCCAGTAAGTTCCGGTGACATCCAGCTCTTGTATGAATGAATGAAATATCTTTCTGGTACTTTTGCACTGTTGCAAAAGTGCAGGTAATGGCGATGAAACAAAAGTAAAATTACAGGTATTAGAACGTCATATCTTAGTAATTACTGCAGCTATACAAACTAATGTAAAATGATTTTTTTTGTTGCTTCAGTTGGGAATTTGATCCTTCGATCTTGCATTAGACTTATTTTCATTTCATTTATGTTGTTGGCCCTTTTCTAAATAATTTCTAAATTTCTTTTCTATAATGAAAATGATACATGAAAAAAGTAGGAAAAAGACAGTCAACCTAAAAGACATACGGAACGAGACATAGAAAGGGACGAAACTACACATGCCTACATGTAAACTATACTAATGATGCCATCGCAGACACCTTACTTGTGTAAGACCACAGGAATCTTTGAAAACCGCCAATTGGCGACATGTATATCCTGGTTAAATAAACAAACAAATAAACCTTTATAACCGCTCACAGAAAGTACTTGAAGGAGAAGGCAGAACGAGACAAGTTTAACGCCCGGGAAGTGGCCCGGTTCGAGGATAACCTCGAAAAGTTACAGAAGGTGAACGAGGTGTACAGTCGTTCCAACCAGGACAACCTGAAGGACAACTTCATGGCGGTAGATATATACACAAATAACATTATCTAATAATTTACACCTGTAATTAAAATTATTTTATAACTGTACAGCAATTGAATGTTTAGTGTGGCTCAGCTGGAAGAGGCACAGAATCTTTTTGATTGGGCAATGAACGTGTGGAGTGCATCAGCGAGTTTTGTATTTATGTCAAAGTTATGAGCTGGAGACCCCTGAAGCAGGACAGAAGCATGCCATAAACCTAATTGTCACTGTCATTATATCCCTGATATAAGTCGTAACTGATTTTAAAGTTAAATATTTGTTCCAGGTATTCGAGCCAGGCACCTTCCGAGCGACTCTAGGTGAACTGAGCAACGAGCAGGCTTTTGATCTACTGTTCCCGAAGTATAAGGGGCAGGTGAGGTTTTTTTACATGAGATCGATACTTACAACAAACGAGGGGATAACTATTTTTTGTTTGGTATCAACACATTGATCTCACAGGTACGCATCTTCAGTCCCAAAGTATAAATAGATTTATGACAGACTTATGGTCTAGGTCAGTCATTGACCTTATTTGTTTGGAGAAGAAGAGGAAGACGAAACTGAGCAAAAACAATATATTTTCCTTCTGCGAAGGTTAACAATAAACTTCATTTGCAAGATCATACCCGAAGGCTAATTGCTTGTAAAATCAAGTATAATACTCATTACAATACAGTAACAGGAGACAGGTAACAACTGTCTGGAAAAACGTCTACTTCTACTACTACGCTAGCTATTTTGGGGTTCGACTTCTTCTTTGAAGGCAGTGGATAATGAATAGCCCCACATTCTACATAATTAGTGGGTTTTGTGATCTTAGTAGAAATGCAGTTTTTTGCTAATAGGTGATCTTCTAAATGACGAAAGGTTGGAGAAATTATAACATTGTCCATTCTCTAACCAGGAGCGCACGAACCACCTTGTGGAGAGCATCATGGCGAACTTCGCGGTCCTGCAGACGTTTAAACACAAGGTGCTCGGAGAGAGGCACATCGAGGAGCCGCTGCAAATCTACGGCTCTCTGCTCGACTTCTTCGGCAAGAGCCGCGGCCCCACCGTGAGTTGTTTTGTTTTGTTTTTTTTATATGCATGATGTCAACACGAAATCTGTCTCAATGCACGCTGTCAATAGCGCAACTTGAAGAGCTTACGACAATACACGGCTGTGAGGGTACCATTCTAGGAAAGGGTATCAGGTTACCGGGGCTCCCGCGCGCGCTTTCTGTGGAGCCAGTCTCAACGGTAATTTTTAAAAATCTAGAATACTTGCTACAAAAACTAATTTACACTCTACATGTTGGCATTATAGGTATAAGCTTATAAGTAGAATGAAAACGTAAATCGTCATTGTTTATTACCTTTTCTTCATCAATCAACATTCTTGTCCTGCCAGGAGAATGACGTGAAGAGAACTATCGGCATTGACGTGGATTACGTGGAGACCATGGATTTCGACATGGCTCCGGAGGACATGAACTTTCTTATGGAGGTACGTACGCCATCTACCTACCAGTATTTTTTTTTTTGTATAACAAAATTCTGTTCTTAGTGCCTCTTACAAATCACATTTTGCTTGTTTTTGGCGTATGCACAATAACCACTTTCAAGATTATTGATGTTCCTTTGATGTGTTTTACAGCAAGGTGCCGCAGCCACCGTTGCCTTCCTCAAGGGCTACACTGACTAATGAAGATTCAATTAATGACTAATGCTAGTGATGTTGATTTTTTTCATTAACCTTACAAGCGAAAATACAATTCCTCTGTTTGTAATATTGAAAATGCTATAATGGGGTGTTCGGAACCGTTTCAACAATACTTAAAACGCCATGGATGTTTGAAACTCATCTTATACAAGGGGTGCCATTTGTACCGCACTGATTTTGTTTTACACTATTGCTCGACAAAGTATTCCTGTTCACAATGCAAAGTAATCAGGTACTTAAACATAGTAATAGAAATGCTTCAATCACATTGGGTCTTATGACATATGCAGAGGGTATGAAGCCAGGTTGCTGTTCTATTTTATATCCACATCCTCACTGCACTTACCTTTTTATGGAACGGGTACAAAGCAGTGTTGGTATGCGGTGAAACTCTGACGACAATACACGGCTGTCAGCTGTGAGGGTACAGTGCTACTAATTCCTAGGGAAGGGTATCAGGTTACCGGGGCTCCCGCGTGCGCGCTTTCCCAGGAGCCAGTCTCAGCGGTAAATCTATTCATAGCAATAAGAAACAATTTCGCAGGGATTCTGTTTGCCAAATGAAATAAAATCTGCACTGCACGTATACCTCAAATGTTTGTTTTTTTCAACGCTTACATATGTATGAAATTATAGGGCCGTGTGGCGCAGTCGGTAGCGCGTTCGGCTCGCATCCAAGAGGTCGTGGGATCGAATCCTGCCAGGTTGTATGCCATCCGCTCGTTCATCCATTAATCTCTTCTGCTTACCATACACTGCCTGGTCGACAGATGGCGCTTCATCCTCGGAAATCGTTGTTCTGACTTAAACCAGACTGATGTAGTAAAGCCAGAAGGAACTAGGTATCAAAACGTTCAATTTGATTAATCATCTTATAAATTAAGTGTGAGTAGATTAACTTGAAAACTATATACTTACAGTAAGTCTGATCTTTAATCAGTAAAGATACTCTCCAAGCAGGCAGTATTTTTGGCATGTTTTAGGCTTTTTTCGGGATTCCTTTTCGCACTGGAGTTGGAAAAAAGTGCAAGAAAGGAACCCCGATAAAAAAAGCCTAAACACGCCAAAAATAACCCCAAACCCAAACCTCTGCTTGGAGAGTATAAATAAGATTGGACACAAACTTTCTCCAAAACACCTCCAGTCTCTAGCAGGGAATGGTGTACAAATAAATAAGATCAATTGTCAAGATGCATTACTCCAAGATGCTGCTGCCTCTCTCTAAAAGCCCGCCATGTATCTTATCAACATTTTACACACTTAAGGTGTCAGACACTCCCGGTGACGAATGACGTCAAACTAGCAACTAGTCTTTCTACTTGTCAGTTCCTCAGAGGTTTACGACCAGCACTTTTAAGCCAGGACAATGGGCAATTGGTAAGGTCTAAATCGTAAAAAAAATCCTTTAACAATGCTTTAAAAACCTCTAAATACTAAAAAAGTACAAATCATATTGTTTTCTGCATATGGGTTAACATAAAGGAATTATTGTATTGAAACTGAGAATTGTATGTTACCATGGTGTTGGAGGCTGTAATGACTAGTTTTCATGCTGAGAGAGAGTACTGACTCCTTTTTGGCTGATTTCAAATTGAAAAAGAACCCTATTCTCTGTATTCTGTACACTCGACAACGAAAATTTGGAGCATGTGATTCTTACCTTTCAAACAGTCATCGATTGAAGAATATTCTACTAACTGTTAATTTTACGTGGCTGATGAACATCTTCAACGTACGAATCTTATTGGTAGTCATAGAAATGGGGAGGGGGTATCTTTTCGAGTCCCAATCAGCTCCTGACAGCTAGCCAAGAGATGGTGTGATACGGAATAGCTTCTCATTTGTTTTGTCTATACAGAGTACCACTTAGATCGTGCCATTTGTCAATTATGGTGTTAATGACATTATAAGGTGACAACACCCGTTTGAACATGAGAGCAAATGTTCATTTGGTACTTCGATTTGTATCCTCAAGTGAGTTTTGTGTTAAGCATTAGAATTTATCCACATATGTTAATAAAGATAATAATCATAAAATACTTCATGTTCAGTTCGTAAAATTCTATTTGTATGGATTTTTCCTGTGTTGAAACGAGTGCTTAGAGAGTTAGAATTGCCTTTGTTTGACGCAGCAATGGTGCAATTTCTGGTTCACTGATTGAAAATTATGGTTGTCACCTCTTAATGAGAATTAACTGAACCGAACTAGCTGGCAACAGGTCTAATTGTGAAATAATTACCAAATCCATTTGAAAGTTATTAGCATTCTACATTCAACTGTCAAATGTCCTGTTTCAAATAAGCTTCAAACAAAAATTAATGCTAACTTGAACACCGTACATTTTATTGGGATAATTTAGATTTCAATGACATTTCTGTTGTAACGTAGTATAGTATTTTTAGAAATGCATCACATTGGTGTGCCAAGTAGATGTACTTTTAAACAGATTACCTTACCTTAGACATTTGATATAACAGTTTAAACAGGTCAAACGTGATGGAACTATTTGTTACGCCTGTGATGCCTAATAAAAGATGTTTAGTCCTAGAAAATGTTGTTTCCAACTTCCCTCCAGAAAAAATATACTTGGTAGGGAGACTTCTTTTGTCTAGGCTGAATTTCTCCAACGTTGCATGGAGGACCGTTCTTGCTTTTGCATTGAAAAAAAAGGAATTTTCTTTTAGATATAACGGTTCATGGGGTTAAGAATTCAGGTGTCAAATCAAAAAGTTTTGGCCTTGCCAACGGTCACCTAATAAAATGGTGTCTTCTAGGGTCGGTGAAGAAACCGTAACACAGCCATTTTTCCAGGAATACCAAATTCTTACCCAGCCTTGAAGGCCAACCTATGGACGTGATGTTGTTTTGACCGCTACGATTAATTTGAAACCGGAAGATCTTGATGCCTTCTGACGTGGAAAACACGATTCGGAAGAAAAGGTCGACCTTCCAGGACCATGGATACAATTCCCATGGCGAATTTGTCTCATGTAATATCCATTCTTCTGATGAATGGGCAATTTTCCTGAAGACAATTTCATCCCTAATGTCAAAGGTCAGGGATACATCCCGTGACATATCCTGTATATTCCATGTTAACCCAGGGATGGCCAATTTAGCTTATTGCGTGGGTAAAGGTTAGACATCCAGGTAAAAAATAAACGCGCAAAAAACACTGACGAAAGGGAGTGGAACATACCTGAAACGTCTGACCGTTTTCAAAATCATATCCAGTTGCTTGAGTGACTGTTTGGGCGTAATTTAGCTTATTGTTGATTCGTAATATATACTTGTTCTCCTTATACATTTTGATTCAGAAAACTATATTTTAAATACATGAATACAAGAAGATAAAATGTCACCCAGCTACAGGTTTTGGATTATTATGTTTACAAGATTTAGGAAAGGTACTTGAAATGCTAATTTCTAACCTAATTTGGGACCCGTTACCTTCTAGTTTCTTGTATAGTTTCTACTGAAGTACAGATTGGGTCTTGGTTGGGAACTGAGTTCTTCCTCTCTTGTTGAGGCTACCTTTGGGCTATTAGTGTGTGATGAAGGACAGCCATGTGAATTGTGTGTCTTCCGGCAAAAGTGTCCCACAAATGGGACTCTGCCCTGCAGGAATGCAATAAGCAACATTCCAAAGGAGCGCTTGGCAGGTTTCAGATGTTATCAGAGCTACTTACTCCTTACGTCTCCTCCCACAGTGCCCATTAGAACCGTTAAGCCCAGAGCGGCTTCTGTGTCGTTTATTTAGAGAGTCAGGGCTTGAAATTAACGGTGTCCCGATGGTCACTTCTTCTTCTTCATTCTTCCTCTATGAGGTGCAGCTAGTGAAGTTTTGTCCCCAGTACAGTCTGTCAGTCATTGCGGACAGAAGTTCCGATCCTCGCAGACAAGTTTCAGACGACCCATTCTCCTTATTGCATCTGAAGACCAAAGTAGGAGTCATCCCGCTGGTCCTCTACCACGAGCCACTGGCTACTATAATATAGGCCGGGACAACTAAAAAGACACTTTGGGACATTTTTGTAGACAACAGGAAAATAATCAACAATAGGATGTCAGCCCCTCTTTTGTTTATCAGGCACACTTCCGGGCGCTCCAGAAAAGACCCCCCCAACATTTTTTGTCTACTGTGCTGCATTTATAGTGCACCTGGGAGTCAAAATGTAAGCAAAATAAAGCTGACTTCAAGATGAAGTCATACAATACGCCAAAAAGCAGTTACTCAAGCAACTGGATATGGTTTTGGAAACGGTCAGACGTTTCAGCTAGTATCCAGTAGCTTTCGTCAGTGACTGAGAGACAGCGACTGAGAGATAGTCACTGACGAAAGCTAATGGATACTAGCTAAAAGGTCTGACCGTTTCCAAAATCATATCCAGTTGCTTGAGTAACTGCTTTTTGGCGTATCGTATTACCTGGATGTCTAACCTTAATCGACGTAAGTCATTCAATACTTCCCAAAAACCAGGTTCAGGACAATTGAATTTTATCTTTGCGACAGTTTCGGGACATTAGGAATAAAAGTTAATTTCGAGGCCTGTAGAGGCAGGAACACTGTCTACTAATTTTAAGATTGGAAGCTCGTTACTGTTTACCGGGTCAGGATGCTGGAAGCCATCTTCTCTCCTTTTCCACCCATTTCTGCAAATCTAAAATGTCCTCAGGGATCTCTGCTCACAAAGCTATAAATCCTCACTAGGCGGCCATTTGTTTGTGTTTCCTACGCGTACGACTTCCATCACTCTGCAGTGTGTATTCCCGTAGGTGGCTT